CCCCTTCCACCCTTGCCTGACCAGGGGAAGCACCCAGCATTCCCTTCAAGGGTTCGTCTGTGCAGCCTGTAACCACAGACAGGGTGGTGCCTCACTGTAATTCCATGATTCGATGCAGGAATAATTTCAGTACTGTAAAAACCCAGCAAATGTTTGAAGCCAGCAGTGAGGGCAGACTTCCTGAGAGGTGTGTGTTTGTGGTGATCACTTGGATTTGTTTTGTTGGCAACAAGAATGATGTTGTTAAGGCAGGAAGAGGACAGTTTTGTTGAAAATTGCTTCTCCGATTTTATTTTGTTTTGTTTTTCTCCTGTAGCTTTACAAGGGATATTGAGTTAGGTCTTGGGTTTGGTTTTCTGTTCATGGTTCTTTAGAATCCCTCAGGTCCAACCATCACAGGACAGTACCTATGAGCAATTCACATTGAAGTGGCTGGGAATTGCACACACTGATCTCTTGTAATGATCAGACCACTTAATTTTTTCCATTGCATTTGGCAAACTTTTCCTCTGCATCAACCAAAGGTTTTTCATAGTAAGTGGTGCCTTCCCGGTGACCAGCATCCTTATCTAAGCATTCTTTGTTACCTTTAGAGTTTGCAATCATATTTGTCTATTTCTGTGAAATGCCATGTGTTTTGAGCAGATTCATAAATGTGGAAAACTTGTGTGTTTTTTAAAAGCAGAATGAATAAGGGAAATATAAATGAGGCTGACAACCCTCCCCACTTCTTTCATGACGTGATGTGGATGCCTCTTGTGTAAAAACCATGAGAGCACAATGATATTTCTTTATTGGTACTTGACCACTTCTCAGTTGTTGCTTTTCTAGGCAGAATGTCCAAAGAGGACTCTCAGCTCTGCATTGTTTATCTCCTGTGCTCTCCTGCCTCCCTTTGGGGCACAATGTCAGACACTGTCTTAGCATGTCTGTTCTCATCTGTGCCCACCTCTTCCCATATTGCTGCTGTAGTCAAATGGCTGTTGTGATTTATGCCAGAATCACTGTGGGGTAGAATAAATCCACAGACTTTAAAGGCATTAGCCTGCTTTTACTGCAGCAGCACCGACAGCTGTACCTAGCGCTGCGACCTTACGCCACCCCCGTGAGGCAGCATCCCAAGCCGTGCTCCTTGGGAAGGGCAGTGCTGTGTGCTTGCTGAGCTCTGCTCCTGGGGCCAGCCCAGAGGATGGGAACAGCATGCAAACACAGCCTCTCTGCTGCAGTAACTGCTTGTTGCAGCTCTAGCCTTTACTTAAAATGTGAAGCTATTAAGCAGAAACACTTGGAGCTCAAACTCATATCTAACTAGCTTGGAGAGCTGGGTTTGTAGATCCAACTGTGTTTTGCAGTCTGGCAGTAAGAAAGGCTGGGTTTCCACTTCAGTTTATTTTCTTCTAATGGTCAAAGAGAGTACTGCAAGATCCAGATGCAAGGGTGCAGAAATACTTACCTGCTGTAAAGATTATTTATAGAGGTCTCAGACCTCCCCTCTCCCCAACATAACAGTCTGATCTGCATCACAGCTTTGAACTCTGTCAAGCACAACTCCAGATCACAGGGGATCATTGGAAAACTAATATCCAAAAACTGTGTTCTGCCTGGCAGAGTAATAGATTGGGAACATCTGCAATTAAATATCTGGAAGAAACAATTTAAATAGAGAAAGACAACTGGAACTTCGAACAAAGGACTAAAGAGTAGGAGTATCCTACTCCTTATCATGATGGTTTGACCAACTGAATCTTCCTAATTTATCTTTAATGATTGTTTATGTTATTTTTTTTCTATAATTTTATTTATGATCTATCTTGCTTTCTCACAGGATAAAAATTATAATCTTCACATTTATGCTTTAGTTCATGTCCTTGGCATTTCTATTGCAGCCAGGGGAAAAATGGACTGAAGCTAGTTCATGTACATGCCTAGAGAAAAGCATATTCCTTGCCCCACAGAATGCCAGCTGATGGTTGTAACAGTTGAATAAGATAAAAGAGGAACATAGGTTGGGAGAGACAAACTGCCAAAAAACAAGTGTGTTCATAGTTTTTAGCTAATCAAGAGTAGCACCAGTACTTTGCTTCCTTGCCTAATCATGATTAGGTGCCAGTTTTCTGTTCTTGTAAGAGAAGCGGTAAATTTCCAGCCTATGATTTGAAGGAGGCTGAGGGAGTGATAGTGTTTTCATAAAGTTTTACCAGGCAGGCCTACAGACCAATTTCTGTCTGTAGTTCACCAAACTGTACAGTAATGTTTTTTTTTCTTCCCACAGTGCCATGAAAAAACTTCTGGCTTCAGTTCATGTGTGAAACCTTTTGCACAACAAAAGTGGTTTCTTGTGGCCAGTAAGACCAAATGTTCTAAGCAGTCCAGGAAGTGTATAAATGGATTGGTACCCTTCCTAGGTTAATGGAGCCTTATTTCTTTCTTTTTTCTCTCATTCTTTTCTTCTCATTTATGCTCTCTTCATCGATGCTAAGTCCAAGCACAGTACAGTTTGAAAATCCTGACTATCATTTTCCCTTTCTCTTGGGTTTTCCTTAGTTATATTTTATGAAAAGAAGTTGTTTCAGTAAATGCAACCTAGTAAATTATCTTAAATTACTTCTTACAGCCCAGGCTGGTATTATAACATGAAAATTGTTACTTAGAGTCTCCCACGCCCCCAGCTGCTGCAGACCTATGTCTCCAGGCTGGGGAGAAGCTGAGCACAGCTCTTCCCCAGCAGAGTCAGCAGGCCAATCCACAATGTGGAAAGCACAGTTTACAAAAAGATTTCTCATCCTTCCTCCACAATCCTGCCAGATTCTATTGTAGTGATGGTCAAAACCAACTAAAATGGTGAATTTATACTGATAGGTAGGCATATGTCTATGCAGAAACCAGATGAGAAACTGCTCAGGCCAAAAACATTAAATCTCAGCTCATCTCAGGATACCAGAAAAGAGCCATCCCATTTCTTTGATCTATGATATTTGACTCTCAATGTGTGTTAATGAGACATATATGTTGGGCATTGGCATTTTCTCCTGTTGAACAAGGGTAAACATTTCATTTGTCTCTGTAAAAATATACTTCAATGGCTTGGAGAAAAGTGGAGATTTGTTATTTTTGCAGTTGTAGAAGACATTTAGCAGCTGTGTTTATACTGGCAGACAATTTGGATATTAGGTGGCAGGACAGAGAACTGCAGATGTACAATATTGTGCAGACATTGTGCACTTACAGTCCATTTCCAGGGAAACATGTTATTTTATATTTCCCTTGGTTTCATTAATCACATTTCATGACGTATCTCACTGTTTCAACCCATTCCCTTGGATTCATTCTTTTTTGGCCTGTTTGTAGTAGTTATTGATCTTTATTTCAAGAAATTCCATCTCAACTATAGATAATTAAGTTTTTTTTTGCCCCAGGAAAGAAAATTAAGATGGCCCTATACTGATTACTGAGACTACCTGTACCAGTTGGCATGTCTACCACATCAGAAAAATATTTAGCCTCCTTTTGGTCAGAAAAGGATTCATACTCTTCCTTGGCATTTAGAAATTAAACTCATTTCCTGAAAGTAAAAATATGTTTCTCATCTTGACCTACAATGGGAAACAGCTGCTCTTTCTCTGTTCTTGAAGTTCTCTAATCCCTTAACAGGCTTTGTTTTGGTTTTACAGGTGAATCCCTTAAACTATAGCAATGATGGCCCATCTGCTGGGAGAAACATACTGATATAAACAGTGAGGAATCCCCTGTTAGAGGGTTGAGAGCCTGAGGAACCTCAGTGTATGGGATGTATCCCCAGGCCTTTGTTTGGTGTTAGCTCTAAATAATGGCATTAAGGGTTTCTGAACAATTTTGGCTTGTAAGTGCTGCTGTGAGTGCCCTGTGAGCCACCGCACCCTGCAAGGGTCACGTGGTGTCACTGTGCTTCTCCTGTAGCTCCCTTGCCCATGGGCAACAGTCCTGCTGTCTGTCTGGGGACAGACCATGTATCTCTTTCTGTATGGTTGTCTGTGCTGGAGAGAAGTTAAAAAGGGAAAGAGCTGGTGCCAAACTTTTGATCTTTGTCTGAAGAACTGGCTGTGCAGGAGCTCTGGCCTGGGAGGTGGGAACAAAAGACCTGCCAGGCACACTTTGTCCTGGCTGAGTCTGGGTGTCATACTAGGTAAGGTTTTTTGTCTTGGGGAACAGAGAAAAGGAGTTCTACTGACCTCTAAATAGAAGCAAACCCAAAGAATTCACTACACAGAGAATTAATGAGTTATCCAAGATGGTATGATCAGCAGATTGCTTAAAAAAACCCCAAGCCCCACCCAAGTGCCTCTTCTCGTGACTGGTTCAGAATGCTAAATATAACCTGGCAGTATTTTTCTTAAGGATAAATGAAAAGCAGACAAAAGTGAGGTCTGTTTGTGCTATATGGCTTAGCCACACCTAAGGAAATGCAGCTTGTTTTCAACCTTTTTGTTTAGAGGATGTCTGTGAGGAGGCTCTGGCCACCATAGTGAGAGCAGCAAACCGGTGTGTAAGCACTGTCCTCATGTTGCTGTGAGTTGTATGGAAAGAGATGGCCCCAGGCACCACAGGAGGAGACAGGGTAGATTTTAGGCAGTGCTCAGCAATTTTCAGAATGCTGAAATCTCGAAAAGAGCTTTACTTCCAGGAAGGTCATGGAGTTTGGATTTGGGAGAAGAGGACTCTGATGATCCCATTTTTATTTCTAGAAACCAGTAACATATATTTTATATATTCTCAAGGAGTAAGTGGTTTGCAAAAGTACACTGGAAGCTGGTGACAGAACTGAAAAATTAATACAGCTCTGGGAAAACGGAAACAAGTTCTTTAGTCTAAAAGTCATTTCTACAAAGAAAATAAAATGTCACTATCATTCATGCTCTTGTGGACCCTGTGATTTTGCCTTCTCTAAAATGCTTGCTCTTTCCTGTGATCTTTTTCCCTGTGATCTTTTCCATTCCCACTCTCTCTCTTTCTACAATATTCAGGTGCTGTTTTTCTTATGTGATGATGCTTATACAACTGATGCTTAACACAACCAATTAGAAGCTGTCTCTGAGCAAGCAATACAGGCAGAAGACTGGAGCTATGACAATTTGCCAACCTACTCCCCACATATACAGTATGAGGTTAGTTGTATACAGTACAATTTACTAGTGTTAAATAACCTCTAAATGCCTAGTCCAAGCCTGCATAAAGAAATAAATGAAATATCCATTAAAAGATCTGTCAATATATAGTGCAATTCCTACTCCTTTCAAATATGTTGATTCCAATTTTTTCATTTAATTCCTGTTTTCTTTCTATGTGTTCATACGGAAAGCACCTACCTTTCTACTGCAAATAACTCAAGAATCAGTAGAAACTCAGGTTTCTACTGATTCTACTCCCCTAGTATAAACAGGCCACTTTGGCTTCTTGCTCTACTTTTACACTGCAGCCCTTTACCAAGTGATTACTATTGCTGAGACATCATTGTCACACACCTGAGCCCTACCAAGGAGGCTCAGGGAAAGGAAAGAGGTGTGGCTTGCCCTGATTTGCCTTATGTTCCTTATAGCTCTTCTCTAGCATACCCTTCTTTGCTGTCTTCATGTGCATGCCCCTGCCCTCCAAGGCTTTGCAGTGCTCTCCCCTCAACATGACCTAGGCCTGTGTCCTTTGCTGGTGCCTCTGTTGTCTCCAGCTCCTGCTCCAGTGCCCTGGTTTGCCCTCCGTCGCAGAGCCAGGGCTGCTCCTGATAACAGTAGTAAAAGAGATGCACAGGCTGAACATGTGTTGTACCAGTGCCATGTGAAGTCACTTTCTCAGCTACCAGCCGTGCAGGTCTCATCCATTTCCGAGCTGCACTTCTGCAGATAGCTCAGCCACCAATGCCTCACTGAAGCAGAGTAAATTAAATCTCTTACAAAAGATTTAACAAGGGCCTAACTGACTGATCACTGAACACCACACCTGGAATAATTTAAATTTTCGCATTTCTAGACATGTGTTTTATTTTTCCTTTAAAAAAAAAACAAACTAGGAAGTGGCTAGGTTAATGCATACGACCTTAGTCTAAAGGATAAACAGCCAAGCCAATAAATATAGTGTGCAGGCTCCTGACTATTCCTGTCTATACAGGCAATCATCTATAGCACCTGTATCCTCTCTTGTAGAGGTTTTATGACCAACACATTAAAATGCAGAGAAACAGAAATGCTGGTTGAGTACAATATATTCAAGTTAATTTTCCCATAGGAACTGAAGCATTTACTTGCTGATTGTCTGTACAATCACATTTTTCTTTTTAAATGTGGAATTGAAATATTGCATTTGTCTAACTGTTTAAATTTTAATTATCATAAAACTTAGTCTGAATACAAGGGACTTTCTGTGCTTCAAGTACTGAGGAGGAGGGAAGGTGCAAGGAAAGCTGTTTCAGTATACCTGACCAGATCAGCTACTCTCATTCTCTGTTTGCTAAAAGTCTCCAAGAGGATGCTGTAGCAGTGGTGCCAAGAGGAGTTGAGGCTCATGCAATAGGCTGGTACCCTTTACACTGCAGTGACTATGGACCCAGCCACCTACAGGGATCTTCTGAACAGAGCAAAGAGTCAGAGCAAGTGTCTAGTCTGGCCCCACAGCTATTGATTTCTCTTTACTGCCTTTTAATCAATAAAAAGGAACTTAAAATTCCAGCTGTTAGCCACTTCAGTGTCTGTGTAAGTAGCAGAAAAATTAGAACCATTTGCATTTCCATCACTTTCAAGCAAATACACCCTATCAAGAGAGGACAAGGAAACACAAGGATATAGCTCCGGTTTATTTTACTTGAAGTGATCAGACCTGGAATGGTGAGAAGGAAATCCAAACCCCATTCCTACCCCCACACCCTCCAAGACACAAATATTTTCCTTTTGCATGATTCTCCTAGAACAACATAGCTCCCAGTGGACTCTGTGCTATGGCTTGGTATGCCTAAAAGGCACACAAGGAAAAATGTGGATTTTGCACTTAAAAATCAAAGTGCATCTTCTGACAGGCACTATTCTAGCTGTGAGATACGAAATGAATTCTGTGTGTTCATTACTTCATAATAGAGTGCAAATATGCTCTTTGATATTTTTCATCCATAGTTCAAAAACGACAGTGGTGCTATATTGTTCAACTGCAGTGCTTATCACTCAGATCTGTTATTGTTACAGCCATGAGTATCTCCTGTATGTATATTGATGTATATTTAACCCCACTAAAGCAAGATGGCAGAACCAGTCCCTCTTTATATCCAGAAGAGATTGCCAACTGTGGTATTTGCTCTAATTGGCTTCTGGGGATGTGCCTCAATAATCTCCAATTGCAGGTTACATACAGTATCTGTATTATTTTAGTGAAACATAAAGAAACTGATAGGAAATGTCATTCTGTAGTTTAGAGGAATTCTGCTGAGTTTAACAGAGGATGATTGAATCTGATAAAAGCAGAATTTTGAACACTCCAGTGACCCAAAAGTAAGGAAAACAGGGAGCTGCACAGCACGGTCTTTTAACAAAGTACATTTTTACATCTCTTGTGTGAATCGCCTCTGACAGCCTGGCCATGGAGGGAGAGAGGCAGCAGGAGGCAGCAGAGTTGGGCAATGGAAAGGGAGCTGTGGTTAAGGCAGTGGCTTTGGAGACCATCTGACTGGATTTCTTTTCTGTCCCTGCCTAAGAAAGTCCTTTAGGAGATGTCTGTGGCACAGTGCCAGTCTGCATTTAATTTGGCTACTAGGAGCAGCTGCTTCTGCTGCACTCACCAGGAGCACAGGTGGAGGGTTTCTCCCACTGGCTGTGCATTGCCTGTCTGTGATGGCAGGAATAATGTTTCTTTCCCCTGACCCTGCTTAGTGCATGCCATCCCTGTCTCAGTGTGTTGATAAGAACAGGGGGCCAAGCCTGCAGGTCCTGGTCTTCCTTGGCTCCTCTTGGCCGTAACTGCTTTTGCTCCAGAAACAACTGCTGTTGGAATCACCAGGATTCAGTTCCCAGAGCCCAGTGGATTTTGTTTTGCTGCTGGAAGTTGACTTCTGCTCTCCTATGGAGTCAGTGTGTAGCTGATCTACCAATTAATTTCATGCCTGATTGCAAAGTTTCTTGTAACTTTTACAATCCCTTTAATCACCGTGACCAGATCCTTGTTTATGCTGTAACCCTGTAAGAGGAAACAGCTTCCAGCCACAGCTTTCTTGCTATCTAGTCAGAAGGGATAGAGACAAAGACTTGTCTTGAATAATATATAAAATCCAATTTAATATTAATTCTGTTGTAATATTCAATTCCAGAAGCATATATGGAAGCAAATATTATCCATTAGATTCTTTGTAATTATTTGAACTATTTTTATTAAACATATTAGAACTATGAAGTATTAAGTTTTAAATTTAATACATCTATTCTTAAAAAATTAATGTTACTGTATTATTAAAGTTATATTCACATATTCAAAACTAAATCATTTTCACCTACTGCCCCTACAAATTTCTTTAGCAGAATTTAGGAAACTAGGGGGAAAAGAGTTAAATACTTTTGTATCAATTAGATCAGCTACCCCAATTAGAAGCATCTAATCAAGTGAGGGAAAAGGTCTTTTCAGATTTAGTTATCTTTTTCACCTTGTCTTGAACTGATGCAACAGCTGAACGTGGTTGCTCTGAAAACTGGGGAAACTTTAAAAAAAAGGAGATGTCTAAACATGCCCAATGCAAATATTGTCAATGGAATGCAAATGCTAGTAAAAAAAAATAGTAGTTGGGCTTTTTTTCCCTTTTCTTTCTACTTTTGAACATGTAGTGAGAGGAAAACGTCTTCAGATGTAGGAAAATCTATGCAAGAAAAAAACACACACCATATTTTCCCTTTAACATTTTGGAAGATTAATTTACAACTATGGTTTCAGTTAAAGGTGTAAGAAAGGACTTTTCATCTTTTCAAGCTGTGAAGTCCTGTCCTCAGTGTTGGTGCTTATGACTTTTTTATTTCTCCAAGTACTGAATGGGATTTGCAGAAAGGAAACTGAGACAGATAGGAGGAAGCAAGAAGGAACATGACTCTGGGGTTTACTGTTCAAAGCACTCACCTACAAAGAGGAAAGAGAGGAGAAAACTGTTGTTTACTGGCCTCTCTTTCAGAGAATACCTATGCCTTCTACCACAAATATCACTAGATTAAAACTAGGGGTTAACCACATAGCATGGTTATTTGGTTCTTATTTTGTTTTGATGCAGTGGGTTTCTTTCATTGTTTGCTGCATCGCAAGGACATTCATGTAACAATATTCAGATTGCAAACTATTTAGTTGTTTCACAGTGCCTTTACAAACTGCTTTGTACATGCTTCAGTCAGCGTTACCTTTCTTTCCTACTCTAGATATATTTTGATCAGATGATGCTTCTGTTCAATATTAGTGTTAAGCCAGAGTAATTTGTCTTTGGGTTTTGGGGTTGGTAGTTTTGGGGGGGATTTTTGGGGTTTTGTTTTGTTTTGTTTTGTTTTTTTTAACTTCCTTTCTTTCGTTTTTGTTCAAAAAACAAGACCATTAGCATTTTACACTAGCCCTTTGGTAGGCTGTCTGCTTCTGTGAGAACCGTGCTCGAGTCCTGGATCTGCTCAGGCTGAGGGATAGTAGAGGAAACATTTGCTAGAGAGTGTTGCAGGGTTTAGAGCCTGACATGTTGTGCTCCAAAAGGGCACAAAGGGCAGGTCTGTGTGAAGACATGCAGGGGTACTGCCTTACTAAAACTAACAATATGAAAATGGCTTCCAGAAAGCTTGAGCCACCCGTCCATGTTTCATCAGCTGGGCAGCGTGTGACCCCGGGGTGCAGCACGGTCCCGCAGCCCTGCAGGTGCAGCTGCTTTGCACAGGGAGCAGAGCAGCCCAGCCAGGCCTGGCAGCCAGAGACACAGGGTGCCCAACCTTCGGCTGCCTTTCCCTGCTATCCATTCACAGCCCTTGGCCATTCACACAAGCACCAATTAGGCTATGGCCAATAAGAGCATTAATTGGTGGTCACATTCCTTAGAGTCTGACAATATTGATGTTTACCCTGTTTTCAGGTCTTCAGTCTTTTATGTTATTTATTATTTCTTCCATGTTGATGATACACAGGA